TGTCTAATTTCTAAACTTGGTGTATGATCAAATTGCCTCATTCATGCCATCATCTAAACATAATTATCTTCTTGGAAAGCATGTTGCTCAAAAGGACAATATACTTCCTTTTGAGCCCGGATGTCCCATAATCTTCCAAACCAAGTAACAGTTTTGGCAACTTGGCTTCTCTAGAATAGAAGCACTATTCTCACACTGCCCTTAGAATGAGACATTTCTAAGACTTTGGTGCTGTATCGTTTTAGTCTAGATAAATAATTCAATAGAGGCCATGAAAAATTAACCAGGGAAGGATTTTTTTTAGGATGCGCTTATAATCAGAAATCTAGAGTTTCTCCTTCTGCTAAGCTAAGGATATTGGGGCAGAGATGTTTACAGAACAATCAGTTCACCTCTTTGGTAACACTGATCATGTGCTTGCTTCATAACAGCAAGACCTGTCTTGAATCCCCTGCATGTGCTTTTTTCCTTATGATTCTTAATGGCTGCAGTCCACATGCCATTTATCCCAGGCTAAAGTAATCTGAATTGCACCAGAATAAGTGGATTGTGGACTCCTGCCAATGAGGAAAATGCATGCGCACTGAAATGAGAACAAAGTCTTTGTCTCAGAGGCAGGCCACACCTATGGTGCAACAAACTTTACATCTATGGGAGTAAAGTAAGATCACAAAGAACCGTTCATACCATTATAATGGGGGTGGGAGATGTTTAAAAAACATATGCCACACAAAATACTTGAACCATACATTATTACATAATAGATTCTAACAACATACAAATGTACAAGGTGACCTGCAAGTGCAAAAGAGTATAAAATGCCAAATACCTGATCTAACATACTCTTTACATATTATGTACAGGGTAACAATTTACATGAAATCATCCCAAGCAGAATTCTACACAAATAAAGCCTTCTTTAAAGAATAAAAATAATGACTTCATTATTAAAGAATACAGCATCTTTGGGACCTGGAAGATCATTTCTGCCTATCAAGGCTGTAGAAGTACAGAAATATCTAGAGATTAAAATGCACACCTCTATAGAATGCCATTGGGGTGGTAAGCTTTCATGCTTTATTCTTTTAATTCCAACAGTTTACCATTTTTCTCAATCCCTAACCTATCATAGTGCCTGAAATTTTGTTGTTCAGTGCATTGCCTTAGGCACTGTTTATATTTTCTAACATACAAATATAATCTTCATATTAAAAATAAAAACATCCTGGCAAAAATTAACTGCAGAATATACTGCAGAATTTAAGAATTCAAAATCATTAGCCACTTAAGGCTGTAATTCTGTGCACAACTGCCTGTGAGTAAGAGCCCTGAGGAATAGGACTTGCTTCTGAGTAAATGGGCAATAACAGCGTACTGCATAAAGTAAGTGTTTTGTGAATGATTTGAGGCCATTTTTAAAACACTAGTCTGTTGTAGCATGTAAAATGCACATAACTCTGCTGATGGGGCAAAATATGGGCACATGATGAAATACTTGAATCTGCATGAAGGGGGACCCACTGCACAAAGAGGCAACACTGGTACACTTTTCATGTCATTGGAATAATGTGCCACTTCCACATATTGTATTTTGCAGCTCTGAGAAGAGTCTTCTGCTGCTTTTTTCTTAAAAACTTGGAAAATTGGATTTCATCTATTACTGGTGACCGAATGTTCCTCAGACTTCCAGAGCTGGAAAAAGTCAAGTGAATTCTGAGATTTGGGGAAGAGACAGACAGGTATAAAACTTGTTTTCATTCACAGATATCCAGTGAATGTACTCTTGAGTACCTAACATGTCAAATCCTTGTCTACAAAATCTTTTTAACATGAATCAGTCCATATCCAATGTTTTTGTAGTGAAAAATAATTGCCAAAGTTGACAAAACACATTACATCGAGTTGTGTTTCCCTTTTTCTTTTCAAAATGTGATTTCGACAACATATTAACATTGCTAGCAGACAAATGAACTGCTGCTTTACTAGATGGTACCAACTGATAGCATACAGGTTGGATCAATTTGAACTCCTTTATATGGTCAGTGAAGATCCATATAATTTAGTTCAACTGCATCATATGGGTCTACACTGATCATATAATGCAATTTGAATTTCATTATATGGCAGTATAAATCCAACTAAACTGCTGGCTTCCAACTTCCTTAACACCTTTGAGTCACAAACCAACTCCTTCTTTAACTCCTTGCAGAAATCAGCGATTTCACTTATATAATAGTATGTGTTATGAGTATAGCAACCTTGGTATCCTCCATCTCCTGTTTATTATCATGAATATATTTCCAAAGGCATACATTAGAAAAATGTAACTCCGTTGTGATATCACAAGACTAATACTACTGGTACACCATCAGTGTGTAAGGCTGCAACCAATGTACACGCTCATTGAACAAAGCACAACTGCTACTGCTAGTTAGTTGTGCACAAAACTGCTCATGTGATTATCAGAAAAATCATGTGAGCATTTCTGGTCACAGAAACATTGTATCATGCACAACAATTGAATAGATGTTGCTAAATATCTACTGATGTTAACTTTGGCTCTATTGCTTATGAAAAATATGGTTGTAATGCATTATACCTTAATGTGCTTTTTCAGCTTTCTGAAAATATGAGCAAGATGAAAACTAAAAGAACAAGGAAACAAAATAAAATCAATAATAATAATTTGTCATAAATGCAAAATGAACCTTATCTATGACTAGATGTAATGTTTCTGCATCCATGTAGGCTACAGATAAGCAAAATGTTTGTTTATGAAAATTGAAAGAAAAACAAGATATCTCGAATCATGGCCTGTAATTCAGTTTCTCTGCCCATCACAACACTTTCTTTCCAGCTCAACTTTCAACACCCTGCATAGCTCCTTTATCTAATTTCTCCTTTGAAGCAAAACAAGCAATATTTCAATAGTTCTGCAGAAATACCATGCACACGGAGAGCATGACCTTCACTGATGTGAAATTGAGAATAGCTGTTATTTGCTTAGACTTTAAATCATTATCCACAAATCATTATCAACATTCTATTTCCAAGTATTACAACTCCAAAAAAGAAATGCATTTTGCCTGATGTAGTCTCACAATCTTCAAAGAAAGGGACTAAAGGAACATGAGCCAATTACCTTCTACATCCTAAATCTTTTAGAAAACAAAACCCAAGCAAAATTAGGTCAAAAGTAAATCCTTTTTTTGGCAAATATAGGTAACTTGTCAAAACGATTTCACAAGATCTGTTATTCTGTCCATGGAAATACATGCCCTTTACCACATTAGTAAAAAGTGTCATGTAAAATATGTGCTGTTCATAGGAATACACATGCCCGTGTAGAATATATTTGTGTGGAAGGGTGCACATGCAACCACTGAAAAATACATTCTGAAAAGTATACAGAATAAACCACTGGAATGGGTGCATTAAGACGGTGGTTCTAAATACAAGTTTTATGTGAGAGACTGATTACAATAAAACTTATTGCCAAATGAAACATCCTGGAACACAGTTTTCTCGATCTAAGTAGAGCAGAAAGGAATACAGTGTATGGAGTAAAAGATGAAGATCTGGCTCTTGCTTCCCTTCTCTTTGATAATGGAAGACATGACCCAAACTTGTTGTATGTATTCTACAAAACATTAAAGACAATATTCCACTATACACTATGATCAAATGGCTTGAGGATCATAATCTGTATCTGTATGGCCACAAGCAACATATATTGTTGACTAGAATCCAAATTATTTGCCTACACTCTTGGAAAAGACGTACTCCACCCTAATTAGCATTTGTTTTGAACGGCTATATCACTTTTGAAATGGCTTCAACCTCCGACTTTCAAAAACAATTTTTAGCTATGTGAAATACAGATTGCTGTTTGGGAAAATAAGGCTAAAGATCTCATAGGATCATCATAGAACTAGTTCCCAAATTCTTTAGAACTTGACCACTTGAATAACAGTCTTGGCTGAGATTCAAAAAGCCACTTAACTAGTCCGGTATGCCCAAGGGTGTGGTGATGGCTGTGTTTCTCACCCCCTCACAAGCAAGTCATGCAAAAAGAAAAATGAAACTTCTTTAGAAAGCAGTTTATGATAGCCTTTGGAGGGTGGAGTAGGGCTGTCAGCTGTCCATACTTGTACAAAAGAAGAGGGAAATCCTATGGGAAGTTCTTGGGTGTACCTAAAGTTGCTCTTTGGGAACTTGACCTTTGTAAATAAATGTGCCTGTCTTTCTCTAAAATCCCATATACTGGTTGCCTAAATACCGTGTGAATCAATGGGATAAAGGCAACCAAGCTATGGGTAAAATTACAGATTTCACTTTTTCTAGCTTTTCTTTCTTGACATGCAGCCATAGTATATACAAAGCATACTCTTACATGTATATTTTGTATACTTGCAATTACATGATAAAAGAGGTGACAGTAAACAAATTATCAACTAGGTCAGTGGTTCCCAGCCAGGTGTTTTGGCCTACAACTCCCTGAAATCCCAGCCTGTTTACCAGCTGTTAGGATTTCTGGGAGTTCAAGGCCAAAACATCTGGGGACCCACAGGTTAAGAACCACTGAACTAGGTGAAATTTAGCTGATTTAAGTACATTTAAGATGTTCTAGGTCATATATCGTTCTTAAGATCAAATTTTGATTTTTTTTAAAAAAAGAAATATGAACCGTTTTCCAGATGTACTGAAATAATGTTCCAGTGTTGTTCTATTTTGATTTTTCTAAGCACTGTCATTCCATAGGTCTCAATGAGGCTTTTTCAATCTAAATTGAAAATAGGTCTTTAGGCACATCATGTGATGCTGCCACACTGAAAAAATGTCAATACAGTAATCACATTTCAGTAGTACTGCTTATATTCAAGGGCCATTAAGATGTCTGTTACCTCCATGGTGATAAAACCATTTTTTGGAACAATTTGCAGTTTTTCCTCTCTTTCTTAAACTAAAATAGTATTTAAGACTAAATCAAGAAGAGCAAATTTTAATACACCAAACATATTTAATAATCTCTTGGAATATATTTGCATGTGTGTGTATACACACACATTCAATGGTTGTGCAGCCTTAGGCAATAACCCATGTTTTCAAGCATGGAAGTGTTGTATTTTATGCTTGAAAACATGGGGTTTACAAAACGATAGATAAACCTTGGAGTTGTGCATGCATCACTTTTTTAAGATTAACAAGAGTTGTTTATCTTGTGGCATTAGAGCCCATATAAAATTCTGCTCTACTTTTAAAGAATGTTCATACATTTAGAATTGTAAAATTATCCATCTATAAAAACTAACTTTGCTTCAACTCTAGTAAATACAGAAAGACATTTTAATATAAAAAACAGTAGCACTAAAATTAACATATGCATCTATTTATACATGGAGAACAATTTAATGCATAAAATTTTATAGATGTCTCTATAGTGGTGTTTAGGAAAATTATTCCTTTGAACCTGATTATTTTCTGCATCTGAAAAATACTGGTGTAAACATCTGAGTTTACTAGACGTCTTCATTAACCACTTACATTAGGGCGGATCCAACACAAACAGACAAACAAAAATATATCTTATTATAGAAATCCACCTAACTCATTACTCTACTACCTTTCACCAGTTGAATTTCTTGCTGGTTGATAGTACTCTTTAAAAAATCTCAACTACTCTTTAACTACCTGGTGTTTTACTGTTGTTGCTTTTATTATTATCATTATTATTGTATTGTCGAAGGCTTTCATGGCCAGAATCACTGGGTTGCTGTGAGTTTTCCGGGTTGTATGGCCATGTTCCTGAAGCATTCTCTCCTGATGTTTCAGTCACATCTATGGCAGGCATTCTCAGAGGTTGTGAGGTTTGAACTTCACAACCTCTGAGGATGCCTGCCATAGATGTGACTGAAACATCAGGAGATAATGCTTCAGGAATATGGCCATATAGCCCAGAAAACTGACAGCAACCCAATCATCATTATTATTTTGCTTGACATTTTTGCACATTATTAGAGCAGGCATCATTTTTCAGTATAGGCCAAAAATGTTTAAAATAAAACAAAAGTAATTTTTTTAAAAACCCATCATATATGCAGGAAAGCTTTTGGTCCTCTCTCTTATAGCTCCATTCATGCTGAAGTATTCATGGCACGTGTTTGCTTTATTGATTATATTCCCAAAGTCCTGCTTCCACAAAAGGCATGTAAAAGTGGTCTCCCAAGTGGTTTAGTGCTTCGGTGAAAGATACAAATGTTTAAAAAGTGCCCCAAAAGAACCGGATATCACATATATACTCTATATATGAAGATGGAATTCAGAAGCACGTGTCCCTTATATTCACAGAAGACACGTGTAGATAAATCTCTTCCTTTAGGTGATGCCAAACCACTTACTACAATGTTTTTCTGCAAAGATTTGCGTGATCATCATAACCTCGATCTATTTTTTGGCACTTTCATGATATGTGGCTGCTTTACCTGTTGTCCCTGCTAAGCTCCGGTAACCAGCCCGCTGTACGAGCACTTTAGAAACGGGGATTTTTGTTCTTGGGATCTCACTTTTGGTTGGGTGAGGGTGTGCAATGTGATGGCTGTTACTGGTATCTGGGCCATGGCTGCTGTGCGGTGATGTAAAATGCTTGATACTGATGGGTATCTTGGAGTCCTTGAGCGATGTTGTGTGGGTTTTGACCGGACACGTGGTCGTGACCGGAGACAGCGGCTTGCCACAGGTCCCAGCAGTGACGTCTTCCGCTGAAGTCATGGCGGTTGTGTTTTCCTCTGGTTCCGTGTAGAGATCATAGAGAGCATCCCCACTGTAGCTATCCCTGGGAATCACCTCTTTCTGGATATTGTTGGTAGTGTCCTCCTCAGGTCCGGGTGTCGTGGAATCCCAATAGCCCTCGTCGCCGCTGGGGATGGCTTCCTGCTGCTCCTTGTCTCTGCTTTTCTGGTCTTCTTTGTGGCTGTGGTTGAAACCGACGTGCTGCCCGGCCGTGGATCCATGCTGCCCAGCCGAGGCTCCGTCCTGCACGCTTTTGGCACCATTGACCTCTTTGGAGGCCTTGGGGGATTCCTTCCCTCTCGCCGTTTCCTTCCCCTCAGTCTGTGACAACACATCCCAGAACTCCGGGGCACAGGTGTCCCCCACTTGCTCGGGGCTGGCCATCTCCTCTCCGCCTCCTTGGTACATCAACACTCCGCCGACGCTTTTGGGAGGCTTTTTGGCGGCCCCGGCTTTGCTGAGCCTGGGAGTGCCCTTCTCCGCTCCTCCTCCACTGCCTCCGCCGCTGCTTGCGTCCTCCTCGTGGTCCGCAATAATGTCCCCACATCCTGTAAGAGAGTCAAAGCTTTTCAGTGAAGTCACGTCAGCAAACATCAAACAAATACGGTCAACGGACGGCTCAGAGGGCGGATCAAGACAGGAAGAAGAAGAAGGGTCAGGGGCGGCGGAGGCAGAAGAGGGTGCCCTCCGGTGGCTGGGTTCAAGAGGGGGGGAAGGCTCGGTGGGGATGTCACCTGTTATGGCGGGGCTCGGTGGGGATGTCACCTCCTTTTCCTCCTCGTCCTCCTGGGGCTTCTCTCGAGGCTGCGGCGATGGTGGCGACTCCAGCCCGCTGCCCTTCTTCACCTGGGCCAGCATCCCAGGCAAGTCCTCTCCTAGGGGGCTGAGCAAGGCGGGCATCAGCTCCCAAGTGTCGTCCAGCTCTGGACCCTTGTCTCCCTCAGAGTCTAGCTGCAGATCCGAAGAAGCCTTTGGCGAACCTCCTCCAGAGGATGGAGACAGTGGGGGTGGTTGTTTGGGAGCATCCTCTTTGATGCACTCCAAGCTGGCAGTGAGGGAGCCTGGCATGAGGCCTGGCGTGCCTCCATAGTCGGCCTTCTCTCCTCCAGGCTTGTGGGCCTCCCTCCTGGACCACCTCATGCTGTTGAAGAGGCCTTTGAGGCCTCCTCCTCCGCCTCCTCCTCGACCTTTAGGCCTCTCTCCTTTGGCGCCACCACCGTTTTTCCTCAGGAGGGAGAAGAAGCTGTGCGACTTGCCCACCGCCGCTGAGGAAGAGGACGAGGAGGAGGGCGGCGGCGGGGACGAGGCCTCCTCCTTCTCCTCCTCCTCCTTGGGGGCGCCCTCCAGGCCCACCTCGGCCAAGCCGTCGTGGGTCTTGCTCCTCACGAGGCCCCCCGCGGGAACAGGCACAGGCGACGCCACGGCTGCCTTCTCTCCTCCTCCGTCGCCTTTGCCTTTGCTGCTCCTCACGCCGAAGATGCTTGGCATGGCGCCGCCGGATTTCCTCCGCTTGAACAGCTTGAAGGCGGTTTTGTTCAGCTTCCCCGAAGGCTGCTGCTCGCCCACCGCGGGGGGCTCGGGCCCGCCACCGCCGTCGTCCATGGCCGAGGAGGAGGAGAAGCCTCTCCGCCTGCTTTCCCTCCTTCCTTCTCGGCTGCCTCCTCTCTCTCTCTCTCTCTCTCTCTCACGGATGATGGCAACCCCACCGAAGCTGATGCTGCTGCTGCTGCCTCCCGCTCGTCACCATGGCAACCCCGAGGGCCGAGTCCGAAGCCCGAGGCCTGGGCCTCACGCCAGGCGCAGCCCCGCTCCCGACGCCAACCTGAGCGGCAATCAAAGACAGAGGAGAGAGGCTGAGGGAAGGAAGGAAGGAAGGCAGCCCCCTCCCCTCGCCTCTCGCCAAGCGGGCAGGGGGAGGGCTTATATAACTTAATCCAGCCGGGGCTGCGGCGCGACTGCCACTGCGGCTGCTCGCCCGCTCGCTCGCTCGGCATATGTCGGAGGGAAGGAGGGAGGGAGGGAGGATGGGGCTGCTCTATTTGGGGCACGCACACGGGGGACGCGGCCCCACCACACTGCCGCCCCCCTTCGGAGAGGGCTGGGCCGAAGGCGTGGTGGCCGCGCCAGGTTCCCGCCTTTGTGTGCCTGCTTCCTCCTCCTCTTGTTCTTCCTCTCCTATTCCCCCTCCTCTTCTATTCATCCTCTTTCTCCTTCTCTTATTATTATTCTTCCTCTGCTATTCCCCCTCCTCTTCTTGTATTCTTCTTCTATTCCACCTCTTCTATTCTTCCTCTTTCTCTCCTCCTCCTCCTCTTGTTCTTCTTCTTCCTCTTCTATCCCCCCTCCTCTTCTCCTTGTATTCCTCTTCTATTCTTCCTCTTTCTCTCCTCTTGTTCTTCTTCCTCTTCTATCCCCCTTCCTCTTCGCCTTGTATTCCTCTTCTATTCTTCCTCTTTCTCTCCTCTTCCTTCTTCTTCTTCCTCTTCTTTCCCCCCTCCTCTTCTCCTTGTATTTCTCTTCTATTCTTCCTCTTCCTCTCCTCCTCTTCTATTCCCCCTCCTCTTCTCCTTGTATCCCTCTTCTATTCTTCCTCTTTCTCTCCTCTTCCTCTTGTTCTTCTTCCTCTTCTATCCCCCTTCCTCTTCGCCTTGTATTCCTCTTCTATTCTTCCTCTTTCTCTCCTCTTCCTCCCCTCCTCCTCCTCTTCTTCTTCTATCCCCCTCCTCTTCTCCTTGTATTCCTCTTCTATACATCCTCCTTTTCTATTCTTCTTGCAGTTCTTCTATTCCTCCTCCTCCCCTTTCATTCTTCCTTTTCCTCTCTTCCTTCTTTTCTCGTTTCCTTCCTCCTCCTATCCCTCCTCTTGCATTCCTTCTCTTCTCCACCTACCACTTCCTTCTCCTTCCTTCTCTTGTTGTTCTTCCTCCTCTTCTATTCATCCTCTTTCTCCTCCTCTTCTTCTATTCCCCCTCTCTTCCTTCTTCCCCCCCTCTTCCATTCCTTCTCCTCTTCTCCTACTATTTCACCTCTTCTGTCCTCCCTCCTCTTCTCCCATCCCTTCTCTTCCATTCCTTTTCCTACTCTTCCCCTACTATTTCTTTTCTTCTTCTATTCCCCCCCCCCCCCGGACTTCTGTTCCTCCTCTTCTTTTTATGTCCTTCCTCCTCCTCCTCCTCCTGTTCTTCTTCCTCTGCTATTCCCCCTCCTCTTCTATTCATCCCCTTTCTCCGCCTCCTCTTCTTCTATTCCCCCTCTCTTATTTCTTTTCCCCTCCTCTTCCATTCCTTCTCCTCTTCTCCTACTATTTCTTTTCTTCTGTCCTCCCTCTCTTCCATTCCTTTTCCTACTCTTCCCCTACTATTTCTTTTCTTCTTCTCTTCCCACCTTCTCCTCTTTCTCTTCCTCCTCCTCCTTCGTCCTATTCTCTTCCTCCTCCTCCTCCTTGTTCACCTTCTCTTCTGCTATTCCCCCTCCTCTTCTATTCATCCTCTTTTTCCTCCTCCTCCTCTTCTATTCCCCCTCTCTTCCTTCTTTTCCCTCCTATTCCTTCTCCTCTTCTCCTGTTTCTTCTCATCTTCTGTCCTCCTTCCTCCTTTCCTAATTCCTCCTCTTCCATATCTCCTTCTATTCCCCCCCCCCCCTGACTTCTGTTCCTCCTCCCCAGGACATCCATAGGGAGACCAAGATGCTTGTTTATAAAGCTAGTGTCCTCCCAACCCTGCTATATGACTGCAAAATGTGCACTGTCTACAGACATCACACTCAACTCCTTGAATGATTCCATCAGCTTTGCCTCTGAAAAATCCAGTAAATCTCTTAGGAAGACAGGTGGACAAATGTCAGCATGCTGGAAGAAGGAAAAAGCATCAGCATTGAAGCAATGCTCTTACGCCATCAACTCCGCTAAACTGGCCATGTTGTCCAAATGCCCGATCACCATCTTCCAAAGCAGTTACTATCTTCCCAAGTCAAGAACGGAAAAATGTAACATTGCTGGACAAGAAAAGAGATTTAAAGATGGGCTTAAAGGTAACATTAAAACCTATGGCATAGGCACTAAGAACTGGGAAGTCCTGGCCCTTGAGCGCTCTAACTGGAGGTCAGCTGTGACCAGCAGTGCTGTGGAATTTGAAGAGGCTCAAATAGCGGGCAAAAGGGAAGATATGCCAACACTGACCGGAACTGCCTTCTGTCTGTAAACCAATGCCCTTACTGTGGAAGAACATAAGGGTGAAGAATCGGACTCCACAGTCATCTATGTATCCACTGCCAAGACACTACACTTGGAAGGCCATCATACTCAGACAACGAGGGATCGCCTAAGAGAAGAGAGACGAATCCAGGCCTCAAACCACTATACCACACTGACACTTACCTACATCCTAATACTTAATTTAAAAACAGATTCCCAACCCCAATTAGTGTTTTTTTTTGGGGGGGGTTACTCTGCGCATATTTAACGCCACCTTCCCCTCCCCAAGTGGAGCCATAATACTGGAAAGGTTTTGAGTTCCTCCTGAGTTCCTCCTGTCGGATTCTGCACTGTAATCCTATGCTGAAAAGCAAGTGTGGGAGAAGGTGTGTAATTCATTTTGATAGACAATACCAAGATTTCATTTCATTTCATGTTGGTTTGCAGCAAGCTAAATAAAGCCATCCATGCTTTAAAACGACTTTAACACTGTTATTTCTCTACAACCCAGAATACATTTTGCAGTATCACAACTGGTCTCAGAACTAAAATGCAAAAAGACCCATAATTTGAAATCCCTAGCAGTGCTGCCAGCAATGAAGTCAACGCAATTAGAGATTTCAGTGCAAATTAACAACAGTTTAACTTTGCAGAAGTATTCTGGTATTTGGCCAGGTACAAGCTCCGTTTACAACCCGGCTGATAAGAGGATATGAAGAAAAACCCACACTGTTTGCTGAAAAGCTAGTTCTCTTAACTATCAGAATTTAACAGCAAATGAAGGATGAAATTGGAAGGCAGCAGATGGTGCAAGAAAAAGGGTTAAAGATCTGCTCCTCTGCACTGTTCAATCAAATTCAAGCCCTCTTATTCCCTCTATGACGGCTCTAAGATGAAAATAGCCAGGCGATCCAATCCCAGGCCCTTCTTGTGACCTGTTGTGTGTTTTGACATTGGTGAGTCCTTGCTAGTGGCAGCTGATGCCCACTAGGCTGGTAGGGCAGAGAGAGGTCATTGGAGGTGAAACCAAGAGTCACCAGAAGCAGAGCCAACCAACTACATCTGGTCTGTGTGTGTGTTGAGGATTAGGTGGGTGGCACTCCATCTGCCCAAAAAGTACAAATGTCCTTGCTGATCCTGAGCAATTGTATTAGGCACCCACTTCTGTCAGAACATTTTGCATCCATAGGATATCTCGCCTTGAATGATCTCCACAGATACATCTTTGTGAATTGTTTCCTCTAGGAAACATGTCACATTTTCAAAAATGATTCAGAGTTCCGATTTCGGCATAGATCCAATAGCTGGAACAATTTCACTGGATGTATATATAAATCTGGATCTGGATCAATCTGAACAGAACTGCCAGAATAGAATATAGGGCGACTAAACAAGCCTGCTCCTTCCTCCCTATGACTTCATCTCACATATTTATACATGGCCCTTATTATGTCTCCTCTCAGCCTTCTCTTCTGAAGGCTAAACATGCCCAGCTCTTTAAGTCGCTCCTCATAGGGCTTATTCTCCAAACCCTTGATCATTTTTCTGCTGCCCTGGAGACTAGGATGTGGAGCAATGGCTTCAAACTATAAGAAAGGAGATTTCACCTGAACATGAGGAAGAACTTCTTAACTGTGAGATCTGTTCAGCAGTGGAACTTCTGCCTTGGAGTATGGTGGAGGCTCCTTGTTTGGAGGCTTTTAAAGAGGCTGGATGGCCATCTGTTGGGGGTGCTTTGAATGTGATTTTCCTGCTTCTTGGCAGAGGGTTGGACTAGATAGCCTCACAAGATCTCTTCCAACTCAATGATTCTATATTTGCAATATGTATACAAAATATGATTAGCAGAGTATATTCTATCTTTCCAATCTTTTGCAAAATCTTTTAATGCTGATTGTCTATAGGAACATGTTTTATTACATGTCACATTTCAAAAATGATTTGGAGTTCTAAGTTTAGGATAGATTGAATATCTGGAACAATTTAACCAGATGTATATATAAATCCAGTATCTGGATCAATCTGCACAGCGGTGCCTGAATAGAAGATACTGCTCTAGATGGAAACACATTTATAGTATACTGTATATGCAAAATATAATTAGCAGAATGTATTCTATCTATCCACAAATCTTTTAATGTTGATTGTCTTTATTCATATAATCAAGGGTGCCTCCAGAGTGGTAATGTTCTTTTTTATTATTAACTGTGGACTACTATGTATATCTGGAATCTGGGTCAGAGAATGTGCTTTGTGAATTTGCTCTGGGGCTTGAGAGGGTTTTTAAAAAACTCCCAGGAAGAAAAAGCTTCAGATGTTAGTGCCAGAGGTCTTGCGTTCAGTGCTCATTGCCAACAACCCACCCACAGCTGCCACATTACATAATGCAGATATTCACACAAAACTATTCTTTCAGAGCCCAAGTAAACAGAAGCCCATGCTATGGAAGTGAACAACAACAACAACCCTACACAGAAATTTAATAGAAAGCAACTGCTGGATATAAGTAAAAGTTTCGAAATTACCAAAAAAGATATGGGGAATCATTTCTATCTGACAATGTATTTTTTCTTCAAAAATTTGCAGATAGAATTTGGTTTTACTGTGCTGTAATATGAGCCACTGTCTTTTTATCCCTTCCACTATTGTTGCTGATCCGACATCAGAAATGGGAGTCCTGGATTCCAAAACACGCAGCAGCACGCTCCCGTCTCCCAAGAGACAAGTTCCAATCTACTATTCAAGGTTTCAATCTGATAATGTTTCTTATCACACTAGGAGTGTTAATTGGCTTA